CACACACTCGTACGGCCAGTGTTTGTCATTTATGGATTTATGGTTAATAATAGTCGGATGCTTTTTCCGCTGTCAGACTGGTTTGTAACCCCTTCACAGAAGGAATGGCGTTGTTCGCGTTGCAGCGGTGGCACCGCTATTAATGTAATGAGTCAGGCTGTTAACGTGATCCAGCTTCAGACACAAAGGGGATCTCTCAACCTGAGCTCTTTCTGCAGACAGGAGACCTCTGCGCCCTACATAACAACGATGGGACATGTCATCGCTGATTTATTTTGCCCTTGAACCTCCTAGTGATAGGACCTTGTGGGATAGCCTTTAAAACAAGCGCTCAGAGATGAAATGAATGCTCCGTTCCAAACTATTGAAAGACGTGCGCTACAGCCGAAGGCTTTTAGAGGGAGTGCTGTAATCTAAAATGTGCTATTTCTCACACATAGCGCAGCTCTGGGATGGGCTGATCAGATAGCCTGAGATGAATCTGACTTGACCTGTGAAGCAGCAGTCACTGGCTTCTGCATTGCCCGGCCATGAGAGGAATTTGCAATGGATTCCAGAAAGATTGAAATCAATTCAAATTCAGCTGACGTACTGCGTCGCGATAAGGCATTGCTGCACCTACATGCAGACGCGCAAATTTCATAATGAATAGATAAGGATTAATGCAATTTCAAACTGTCACCTGCTGCCAGACGGGATGTCATGAATGGCTTATCATTGTGCCATGATTTTATTTACATCCAAGAACATAAACAGCCCGGTTTATTCATGTCCTATCTGTAACCATCCACGGCGGTGGATCCTCTGACGTGTTTTAAACAGCCCCCATTATCTCAGTGCAATTTCTCATGTAATTAATGTCTGCTTACAATGCAGCTAATATCCACTGTGTAACCTGTGGAGACACACAATAATTATGTGACCGTTTGAGTGACAGAGATCAAGAGAGCAAATAGAGGAGCCCCGTCTGCAGCCCCGTCAGGAGGGGCAGATTGTTGGCCCAGGTTAATAGGCATCCTCCAGGGAGGGATTTGCTGGAGTTAAAGAAAGTAAGGCAGGAGGCATTTGAATTCGGTATAATAATGTGAAATACTTTAAAAACCATCTTTTCTAATCTCATTGTCACGGACCATTTACAAGTTCTCGGTCCAAGGCTTTATGAAGTTCCCTACGTAGGCATTAAAAACTCCGAGATCCTGTGAAAGAACATTTTATTTGAGCTGGATACTCTGTACTACCGTCCAGAATTAGCCTGCCATCTGTTTCCTGCTTTACCCACAGCCAAACACTGAGCTACAAAACTTTCTCAAACTAACTGATCGAGGAACAAAGGAGAGGACAAAAGGACTCTAACTGAAAATATTGTTGGACCAAAGTCGAGCCAGGTGTCTGGATTCTGAAAGTCAGCGCGGGCAGGACAGTCTTAGTTTATAAGGGGAATGCCTCTCGTAGTGGAGTGGACCTGTGATCGATTGGGATGTGAAGTGGCTTAGCCGTACCTCGGTGTGTCAATAGCTTCACCCTCTCCCTCAACCTTGTGATAAAACAGAAGCTCGTGGCGCCCAATCTCGGTGTGTTTACACCTGTAAACCTGCCCGTGCGAACGTATTTTCTTCTTAACAACTTTACTTTGTCGGTTTCTTTGTCAGTTCCTCCGAAGAATCAAAACTTTTCCTTTAAGAGCATCAAACCAGGTCGCAGAGGCTGAAAAGAGACGCATTAGGATGCGTTCCACAGCTCCATAGATTGAGACGAGGATTTAATTGGCTTCATATCAGGGTTAGATAGCGCCGTTGTTGACATTTGATTAGAAAAAATAAAAGAACAAGGTGACTTGATATTGCGGCGATAAGCAAAAATCCCAACTCGATCACATCGATACTTTACTCGAGTGCACGTAGGTTGCTCACCTTGTAACCAATGACAGTGGTCGCAGTGGCTCGCCTGCAGATAGACATCAGAGGTTTGCTACCGAGCGTGCTTTGTCATACATTTATTGCTGTGTGTGCACTGTCTGTTTCCCCTCAACATAGTGTTGACTTAGAGGTCAAAGCAGTGCAAAGGCATAAATTTCTGGAGCTTTTATGCCGGCCGATTCGCAACATTGTTGCCC